CTGGGAAAGTCCACCAGCATGCGGACACAGGCGGCAGTTGCCTGCCATAACTCACTGCATGGCCGATAGCTTTACACTTTCACCCCATATGGTATTGATGACCAACATCACAGATTGTACAAGGCTCCTAAATTCAGAGAGTCTGCCTCCAGATGTAGGCGAATTTCCAGCTCCAGGATGTATCCACCCGGCGTGCAGCCCATATTCCCAGTGCTGCCCAGCTCCATACATAAATAAGCGCACGGTCTCAAGCACACATCATATGAGCTGCTTGTGTGGCCTTACAGTTGTGGAACTAGGTGGGTTTCTCGACAAACACATAATAGGGAGGAGCGCCCTCTAGTGGCTCTGGCATGCCCGCGTCGCTTTCTAGGAGCGCGGAGCCGGTGGTTTTACTTTTTAACTTTTAATTCGACAAATTCCTCGGTGTGTTCTTTAAGCTAAAAAGGCCTACAGTAAAAAGGTAAAAAATAATAATAAATAATAATAAAAGTAAATAAATAATATGCTCTCCAGTAAGGTGATCAATTGTAAAGATTAAATAAAATCTGTCGCCTAGCAGGAGTTCTGTGGGCGTCAAAGTACTCAAAATTGCAGCAGTTGATTATCTGTCGGTGCGTATGATGGGGACGTTGGCGGTTCCCGGGAAAACAACTTTCACTGGGCGGGAAATGCAGAGGTTAAGGGGTCGGCGCCGCCGCGCCGTTGCTGTGTGGGCTGGTGAAGGAAGGAGTGAGGCCTGGGGGCGGGGGCTCTCTGAGCCCAAAAGTTATTCTGGTCCCTGCCTGTACAGAACTGCAGGAGCGCTAGGTTCACACACAGCTGACAGGTGCTTCCGAACAGGGCTTCTGGGCTCGAGAAGGGCCCGGGAGGAGCGAGCCCCCGCGCTCCCCTTCACCCCTGGGACCCGCCTTGTAGCTGATAGCCCTGGAGTCCATCTGGAACAGCAGGAGTCCATGGTGTCAAAGGGTCTCCAGGCAGTTCCTCTCCTGAGTCAGGTGCAAGAGGGCCCTCCCCACAGCTCCCACTTGCTCCCTCTCTGCACCCCTTTCAGGTGGACACCCAGCTTACAAACCTAAAGGTGCTCACCGAGGGCCAGGATTCATGTAGTATTTGTAGTATGAATGAGTAGGCTTTCTTGATAATGGAGAAGTCACAGTGCATCCACCTTTGGTCCTTGCAGTATAAACAATTACTATTCTTTGTTCTTGGTCCTTTTGGTTTGGGGGCTACACTGGAAGGTGCTCATGGCTTACCCCTGGCTGTGCGCGAGGGATCATATGTGGTGCCCAGAAATTGAACCCAGGTTGGCTTTGTGGTGCAAGGCAAGTGAGTGCCTTACCTGCAGGTTTTCAGTTCCAGCCTCTTGCGGGAGACTCACAGATCATACCTGTGGACATTCTCCATCTCAGGCACTCACATGGGGTTGAGCTAGCTCCTCTTTCCCGATTTTTGCCATTTTAATCATTAGGAAAGGGGGGGGGGGGGGCGGGTAGAGGCCTTGCTCCTTCCTGGTTCTCCACTCCCTGTTCCAAGTGGAGACTTTTTCAGTCATTGACTAGTAGTAGTCCTGTATCTTCACCCCTGGGGTGACTTGATTGCTCAAGTCAAGGCTCATGTAGCCTCAGCTGGGAGACCAGTCCAGCAGATCATAAGTCATGCTTCTAGGACCCTCAGTCAGTACAAAATGCATGCTTCTTGCACATAGGACATTCAGTCAGTGCAAAGTGGTGCTCTGACATCTCTGATGGTGAAGGGCAGCTTAGTTGGAGGTAAAAATCCATGAGAACCACAGTGGACAGAGTCAAGCAGATCAAGTGGTCAGAATCAGGACCAGTAGATTTTGTCAAGGCTGTGCCCTCATTTGGGAAGAAGGCTTCATACAACTACTCTTTTAAGCCTTTTATAATCTTGGCTTTCTCTAACAAAGACCTACCCAAAGACAATAGGCTAAGAGCTTTATGAACTAGATGAGCTTGACCCTGCCTGGGGCCACTTTGTCAACCTATAAATGGTGTGACTAAGGAGAAAACCAATACCAAGAGAGTAGAGCAAGTGGGAAGGTGACAGTGGTGATGGGATTGATGTCGGAATATTGAATGCCTATAACAAATCACCATGAACAACTTTGTAAACCACTATTTAAAGTGTGGGGGGGTGGATTAAAATAAAAACAAAACCTCCCCAACTGGATCTATGGATTCAGTTCAAGAAGAGAGAGAGAAAGAAAGAAAGAAAGAGAGAAAGAAAGAAAGAAAGGGAAGATGTTGAGCTACTGGATTCAGTCATTTCTGATCTCTCCCCGCTTTCTAGAGAAACCAATAAATTGTTAGTTTTTGTTTGTACTTGGGAAAAAATGGACCAATATGTTTTCCCTTTAGTCCTGAGCAGAAATAGCACAGCTCTGAATTGAGAAAAGCCTTCCAATCTCTGAGAGTAACCATTTTTTCCAGGTCACTGTGAGAATAGATTTGAGGTCCAATCCCAGTTCTGCTTCTCATCTGTTGTGTGATCTTAAAAAACCATTCAGACCCTTTGACAGTGAACACACAATTCTTAGTCATCAGTCACAGTTGTTTTACTGGATTCATCCATTGGATTATGAGAGGTTCCTTTTAACCACAACCATTCAAATTATTATGTTGCCTTAACAGTCATTGATGTTTAAGCACCTATAGTATTATATTTGTTCATAAAAACCATTAGAGGGAATTTCTCATTTAGAAGACAACTTCTAATTAGCCAAAATAAAGCAGATTTACAAGCTGGATTGTTGCCACCTTGGAGGAAGTAAGCTAATAAAATCAGCTTCCTTGGCGTGAAAAGGCAAGCAACTGAAACACTTATGTCTCATGGCCACCATTTGCCCAAAGAAAGTAGTAGGATGGGAGAGATTTTTCTGCCACACTTGTTCAGTCCCTGTCACCAGGAGGGAAGCTGCTCTAGGAGAAAGTACCCTGGCTGTGCACTGAAATTGCCAATGAGGGAAGCAGAGGACCAGGTCTGATCAGCCAACTGTTCCGATGTCCCTTCCCCACACCTTCCCATCAACCTCTCACCTTGTCCATCCCTGCTGCTCCCCTCCTCACTCCTCATCCCCCAACCCCCACCAGGCCCCCATCTACTCTTGTAACTTGGTTGCTTTACTTCAGGACTCTCTACCATTTACAGGATTGCCTGTGCCAGCAGGGCACTTGAGTCAGGGCTTGCCAGGGCTGAGTCTTGAAAGGTCTCCTTTCAACCCGCTCAAGATTTATAGCTGTTTTGGCCTACAGGCCGGACCTCTATCCTCGTATTCAGGCCAGGCTTGGAGTACCTTTGGGTTTGGGTGTTTGTTTCTTTTAGTTTTGGGTTTTTTTACATTGCTAAGGTATGTTTGGGTTTATTCCATGACTGATGGACAGGATCTCTCAGTAAAACCCCGCTTGGGACAGATGGTGAGTCTCCACCTTTGGTAGGGTTTTAGGAATTAGACTTCCTGGTGGTGTACTCTTGCAGTCCAGAATCTTCTCTTCCCCTCCTCTCTCACTCCTCCTCATGGATGGTACTGTCCTCCCAAACAGTCACCCGTGCCAGGCAGTCACTGCAACCTCTGAATTTCTTACAAAGTTCTGAGCTGATACACAATTGTCGCTTGTGTTGAGGCAGAAATACTCAGCTTTGTGTTGAGGGAAGAGGATCCTGGTGCCTGACTGAAAGACAGAAGCAAAGGCTCTGGCCATGGAGGGAGTGTCTGTAGACTGAGGCTTGCACAGGTTTGCAGTCACCCACCTCGAAGTGGCAGACAGCTGAACTCACCGGGGCCCAATTCTCACCAGGCTGGAAGCTCCAGACACTCCGGAAAGCCAGCAGTTTTTGATGGTGCTAGTTTCTGTAATCATTCTAACCCTTCCAAAAAGGCATGTTCCCAGTCCACCAGGAGTCAGCCAACTACTTCTGCAAAGGGTGACAAAGGAAATGTTTTCGGCTCTGAGAACCATGTGCAGTTTGTCACAGCTGCTCTACTCTGCTATTGTAGTACAATAGCAGCAGTGAGCATCACACAGACAGAGGCACTTGGCTATGTTCCAACACAAATTTATTTATAGAAACAGGCAGAGGGCTGAGTTCAGTTCACAGAATCATTTTGCCAACCTCTGCAATATCCTTCCTGCTTGAACTAGTATTAATATACTGGTTTCTGCTCAGCTGAGTGGTACAAGATCCTAAATTTATCCATGAGCTTCCCTGCTCCCTCCTCCCTTGGTGTTACTGAAAGCCCTCACTGTCCCTTCCCTAAGCCAGTTGGGTTTATCCTGACCTGAACACTCCACCTGGCATCTTCTCAGCCCATCTTCACTCCAATCTCCTGTTACTCCTATGTGGGCTTCCTCCAACAGCCCAACTTTCCATCTGGGTTCAAACAGAAAGCAGATCGAGTGAGGTGTAGCTTTTGTCAAACTGCTGAAAACCCAAAGCTTGATTCATTTAATACCTCCACCTACTCTGAGAAGTTGGAATGATAACCTACTCTGCAGGTTAAAGAGGGGTGATTAAAATGTTGAACTTGGGGAGAACAGAAAGATAGTACAAACCTATGGGAAGTTTCAACCCTTGCAATTCTATACAGTGCGCTGAGCCCTGCCAGTAGTGAGCCCTGAGCATAGAGTCAGAAATAAGTCCTGAGCACCACTGGATGTGGCCAAGAAAAAAATAAATAAATGAATAATCCTGAAGTCAAATCTGCCTAGTATGGGAGTCTGCCCTGCTTCTTAGGGTGTTAGCACAGACTGGCCATGTGCCCTGAGCTCCAGGCGGCCTGTGTTCAGGTCTATTCCCCAGACTGTTAGAAACAACACTTGTTCGTGGAGTGGCAGATCTGCTGGGAGTCTGACAGGTTCTGGGGAGATGGCAGCTTCCAGAGGAAAACTCACAGCAGGCAGCTATCCCACCTGCCCCACCACCTGAGTGCTGGAACTTTCCATTCCCCTAGTTATCATAAATTCGTGTCAAAGAATCTAAGCAATGGCAAGTTTTTATTTAAAAAATAGAAATCTATTCTTTCATCTCCAAAGAATCAGGCTCACCCCAGGCAGCCCCCATCCCCACCCCCAGGCTGTTCCAAACATGTAGACAAGGGAGGCATGTGCCGCCCCCCTGCCCCCTATCATTCAGTGGTGAATTCGAGGGGTTAGGGCTCGAGGTCCTCGTGCATCTCCCCCAGTCCACCAGTCACTGTGATTTGGATCCAGAAGCCACGGGAGGAGAGTCAGGAGTGAGCGCTCCTCAACTCATACCCAGACGGAACAGCTTGCGCACAATGGCAGGTCCGCCCCAGTAGCCCCTGTAAGAAATGACACAGGAAAAGGAATTGCAGTGGAGAAGTGGGGTGACCCTGCCTCTAGGCCACAGAAAGGGAAGCCAGGCTGCTCACAGGGCACAGTCTACCTGCCACAAGGCAAAAATATTCTAGGAGGGAACAAAGATCCTGTGGCCAGGAGGGAGCAACCTGACTCAAGTTCTGGCTCACTTGGACTTCCGACATGTAGGCTTCTGCTGCCTGTCCACTGCAAGCCTTGCGGCTTTCACTTGTTCATTGTTATCTGAAGGTCAGGCTTTTTCAACCTTGACCCTATAAGCATTCTGGACCCGACACTTCTTTATCAAGGAGAGGGTTCTTTGCAAAGAAGGATGTTTAGCTATCTTCCTGGTCTCAGCCCACCAGAAGCCAGTTACATCCCCTCATGCTGTGACTATGAAAAAATTCCCTCGTGAGGTGACCAAATGTCCCTGCAAGGTGGAGTGGACAGCAATAAGCCCTCTGGTTGAAAACCGCAGATACAGATATCCCAAGTTCTGTCTCCCAGGGGTGGAGAGCAGTCAAACAAGATTGTCATCTGGAGCAACAAAGAGCAGGAGGATTCATTATTATGACTCTATTTCCTCATTGAACTCCTACTGTGTAGCACTCGCTGCCTGTTTGCTCATTAATCGCCATCCTGCGAGCAGGCAATGCTGCTACCACGGTGCAGATTAAAGATGCAGCAACTTTCCTGGGCCACACAGCTAGGAAGCGGCAGGGGAGGGATTCAAGCAGGGCTCTGGCTGCAAAGCGCAGGCTTCCTTGCCACTATTTTTATTTGTCCTCGCCCTTAATAAAAACAAAAAGCAAGATAAATGGATGGAAAAATGATACATGATGTGCAAAAGTGATTTACTATCATTAACTATCATCATTATTGGTATTTTTTTTCATTCAGTAGCAAGAGAGAGTCAGAATCTGGAAGACTGAAGAACTGACCATGACAATAATGGATAAAGAGACTGTGTGTGTGTCAGGGGAAGGTATATGAGTCACCTCTCCCACGTCTCGGAGTCTTCACATTCTCTCTTCGCTGCCAACACTGATCCATGAAAAGGGCATCCCCTCAGCCTGCTATGGGTCATAATTTCTCCTGAAGCCAGAGGTCCCCCCACCCGAGTTCATGCTGAACAGTGGGTCTCTACCCAGGCTGCCCACTTACTTGAGCATCAGATTCCAGTACAAGAAGGGCATCAGGTCAGCCTTCATGAGATACATGGACAGTCGCTCTTTGCTCTGGTCAAAAGGGAAGGTTTCCAGGGGCTGTGCATTGTAGTCAAACTCGGCAAGAATCACACGGTTGTAGGCAGTCACCAGTGGACACGAGGTGTAGCCATTGTACTGAAATTGCACATAAAATCAAGTTGGAAAAGTAACTTTTTCTATGCTTGACCTTGAATAGTGGCCATTCTTTTTTTTTTCTATGGGAGGGATATCTTTTTTTTTTTTGGATACAATGAAAAATAGAAAGGCCATAACAACAACAAAAAGTTACTAAGAGCAAAAACTAAAGTGTCCCTGATTAAGGAAGTGGCAAAATTAAGGGTTAGAGCTGTTTCCCTTCCCAGCAGAGGATGAGCGTCAAGACAGCCGTCCTTTATGAGGTGTACGAACCTTCTTTGTTGGTGTTTTGTTCTTCATAACCAGAGAAATTGTCCTGTCAAGTATTCCTGACTGGGCAGCTGTGAGAGAAATGGAAAAGTCAGAAAAACAGAAGCAACCATTTTTCTGTGAGAACTAATATGCAATTAGGTCTAATGTAAACAAGTTAAAGAAGGCCCGCTGCCTTCCCCACCCCCAGAAAGGATCACTGACAACATGAACTCTTCTTGCTCCACAGAATCCTGACTGCAGTGGGTGTCAGTTCCCTGACAGGAAGTGTGGCCTCTGCCTTCGATGCCCTGTCAGCTGGGTTTGTGTGCTCTACCCACACCCACCCCAGGCCATCTGGCATGTCCCTGCATCCCCACGCAGACCTGGGCTGTCAGCCTGGAGATAGTGAGAGGGGGTGGAGGATAGGGGTCCAAAAAAGAAGAGTGGCAAAAGAGGGGGAGAGAGAAAGAGACAGAGAGACGGAGAGAGAGGAGGGGAGAAAGAGAGTGGGAGAGGGAGAGAGAGGGAGGAGAGAGATAAAAAGTGCCTACCATAGAGGCAGTCTGGGCAGGGGGCAGGAAAGAAGAAGTTGGGGTATGGTTAGAGGGATACTGGGGACATTGGTGACAGGAGATGGTGAAGGGATGGGTGTTAAAATATTGTATGATTGAAACCCAACCATGAACAGCTTTGTAACTGTCTATCTCATGATAGTGATTCAATACATTAAAAAAAATTTTTTTTAAGGGGAGGGGATGTAGAGAAGAGGGAAGGTGAGATGGATAGGTTTTTAGTGACAAAAGTGGAAGACTTATATATTTTTAATATTTTTTAGCTTTGGAGGCCCACTCCCAGTACTCTTTACCCACCCATCCCCATTTTTAGAGGGGAGGGTGTGACCTGCAGTGCTCAGGAGCTACTCCAGGCTCAATATTTGGAGTTTCAGGTTGCTCCTCACAATTCTAGAGGTACTCATGATGAAGTACGGGCATCAAACCTAGGTCTCCCACATACGAAGAATACCTTTCTGGGGATGGCCACACCTGGATGTGCTCAGGACTTAATCCTGGCTCTGCTCAGGGTTCACTCCTGGAAGTTCTCAGGGAACCACATGGGGTGCCAGGGATTGAAATCAGGTTGGCCACATGGAAGGCTCTGCCCACTGTACTATTTCTGCAGCCCTGGGAATACCTTTTTCATTATGAACTCTCATTCTGGTTTTTATCAACTCCTTTACATGCACCACTTAATTTTTTTCCTGGAGAATTTTCAAAGCAATTATAACAATTTGCCCATGCGTATTTTTATGTATATATCTCTGGTAAGGTGTTTGTTGTTGTTGCTATTGTGACATATATTACAGGCTGTAATGGGGGGGCGGAATTATATGGGGTCCAGGGCCACTTCTAGGGGCATTCAGGAAAACTTGCAGTAACTGGATCAAATTCAGGGTCATGAAGGCACTGTTCTATAATGTAAGCCGCCTCTCCAGCCCCCAAGGATTGTCTTTTTAAAAAATGTGAGTCGCACCCAAAGAAGCACAGACTTCCCTGTCACTTTGGGGGGGGCGCGAAAGAGGGTAAGGCACACTTGTCATTGATCAGGGGTTTCTCCTGGCTCTCTGCTCAAGGGTCACTTCTGCAGTGCTTGTGGGAACAGATGGAATGTCAGAGACCAAACCTGGGTTGGCCATGTGGAAGGCAAGCACCTTACTTGCTGTGCTATTGCTCCATCTCCCACCAAGAAACTTTTAAAATACAAACACAAAGATATTTTATACCCCAAAGAATTCCTTAGTATCACCTAATCTCAGACATTTTGAATAATTAAGCCTGTCCTTTTAAAGTGTACTTCTGGTTCTGCTTTCGAGGAAAGATGAATCACCTACACCTTGTAAATTGCTCATTAAGGCAAGTATTTTGCAATCCCCCAAGCAGGGGTCAGCAAACATTTTCTATAAAGAAAAATGTTAGGCCCTGTGGGCTGAGAAGCCAAATAAAAGATATTACAGAACAAGAAAAAATATACCTCTACCCAAAAGCTTGATAGCACAACTTTATATGTAATTATCTTTTTGTAATATAGATGGGCTAGCAAGACAAATGGAATTCTATTTTTTTAGAAGGGCTGGAGCGATAGCACCACGGGTAGGGCGTTTGCCTTGCACATGGCCTATCTGACTGACCTCAGTTTGATTCCTCCGCCCCTCTCAAAGAGTCTGGCAAGCTACCGAGAGTATCTCGCCCTCACAGCAAGCCTGGCAAGCTCCCTGTGATGTATTCGATATGCCAAACACAGTAACAAGTGTCACAATGGAGACATTACTGGGCCCGCTCGAGCAAATCGATGAACAACAGGAGGACAGTGACAGATAAAAGAAAGAAAAAGAAGAAAAGGAAGAGAAGGAAGGAAGGAAGGAAGGAAGGAAGGAAGGAAGGAAGGAAGGAAGGAAGGAAGGAGGGAGGGCAAGAAGCAAAAAGAAAGAAGGAAAGAAAAAGGAAGGAAGGAGATGATTCAAAGGGCTGGAGCACCTGTTTCACTTGTAGGACACCTCGGCTCAACCCTGGCACCCTAAGGCCTCCTGAGCACGACTGGCAGGGGTCCACATATATGAAGTGGGTGTGGTCCAAAATCCATTTAAAAAAAAATGTCTTCCTTTCCTCAAACTGCTTTCAGTGCTTCTCTCCTGAAACCCTTCCTAGCCGGAGTCCAGGAGCTCGCACCAGGCTGCACACTGTGATCTGCTGGCGTGCAAATCAAAGGAATGATGAATCTGACTCTGGAATGAAGCAGTTAGTATCCTAAAATGGGGAGCAAGTAACTCTGCTTGAAACTATCACTGTCTTTGCTGTGAACAAGGCAACATCTTGAAAGGTCACATTTATATTTTTCTATTGGAAAACTTCGCTCCCTTTTGAGGAGTTTGAAATCTGGTCCCAGAAGACCTGGAGTTCCTCTGCCACCCCCCACCCCCACCCCAGCTGTATGCCCAGCCAGCAGAAAAGGAGAGAAGGTTCCTGTGGTGTCCGTGCAAAGAGGCCAGGATGAGTACCCAGGAAGCATTACAGTGTTTGAGTTTAACTTGTGCATTCCTGTTGGTTTGGCTCATGCCCTAACCCCTGTATTATAATTCTCTTCTGTTGTGTCCAGGTTGCAGCTAACTCTGTGTGTGTTGGGGCAGGGAAGAGGGAGGACACCAGGGATAGAACCCAAGACCTCACACAACAAGAACACCCTCCACTGAGCCTGATCCCAGGCCACTGCCATTAATTTTGCTTTATATTTATATAAATTTTATATAAGTATATTTCTATCTCATAATACAAACTCCAACAACGGCCAGGATCCAGAGATCATCACACTCAGCTCCTGGGAGAGAACAAGACAGAGTCTCCTACCCTATGCCTGACTGTCTCCACCAGGGCCCAACAGCTGAAGACCACCGAGGCCCAGCCAAGGCCATGCTGGGAGCACTCTCCACACACTTGGATGAGCCTCACGCATAAAAGAACTGACAGAGGAACCCAGGTGTGTGGGACCCGGGGCTGAGATCTCCAAGCCTGCACAGTTTGGGACTGGACCTGCCAGTAACTAGACAGTTACACCCACCAACTGCCCTGTAACTCCAACAATGGCCAGGATCCAGAGATCATCACACTCAGCTCCTGGGAGAGAACAAGACAGAGTCTCCTACCCTATGCCTGACTGTCTCCACCAGGGCCCAACAGCTGAAGACCACCGAGGCCCAGCCAAGGCCATGCTGGGAGCACTCTCCACACACTTGGATGAGCCTCACGCATAAAAGAACTGACAGAGGAACCCAGGTGTGTGGGACCCGGGGCTGAGATCTCCAAGCCTGCACAGTTTGGGACTGGACCTGCCAGTAACTAGACAGTTACACCCACCAACTGCCGTGTAACTCCAACAACGGCCAGGATCCAGAGATCATCACACTCAGCTCCTGGGAGAGAACAAGACAGGGTCTCCTACCCTATGCCTGACTGTCTCCACCAGGGCCCAACAGCTGAAGACCACCGAGGCCCAGCCAAGGCCATGCTGGGAGCACTCTCCACACACTTGGATGAGCCTCACGCATAAAAGAACTGACAGAGGAACCCAGGTGTGTGGGACCCGGGGCTGAGATCTCCAAGCCTGCACAGTTTGGGACTGGACCTGCCAGTAACTAGACAGTTACACCCACCAACTGCTGTGTAACTCCAACAATGGCCAGGATCCAGAGATTATCACACTCAGCTCCCGGAAGCGCGCGGCCGCATTTGCGGCCACGCAACATCTTACCATCTCATTCCTAATTCGGTCAAACTGGCAGGCTACCAAATGTAACATGCCCACACGGCAGAGTCTGGCAAACTCCCCGTGGTATACCCAATATGCCAAATACCAGTAACAATGATGGGTCTCATTCTCCTAACCCTGAAAAAGTCTTGAATATGGCACTTTAAAAAAAAAAAATCTCAGGGCTAGGACGAAGAAGACGTTACTGGCACCTGCTCGAGGCAATCGACGAACAACAGGGTGGTCGTGATCGTGATCCTGATGTTCCCCAGATGAATGCAATCTTTCTATGTCTGTCCCTCTCTTTCTGACTCATTTTGATTAGCATGATACTTTCTGAACCTCCAGCTACGAGCACATCTCTTTGATTCCACTATTCTTCCTGCATTAACATATGCCTCCGAGACCTGGACCCTACGAAAACAGGATGAGAACACTATTCGGGTCTCTCAAAGAGGAATCGAAAGAACTATGCTTGGAATATCACTACTCACTCAAATGAGAGATAGAATCCGGAGTTCTGATCTTCGTCAACGCTCAAGAATCAGGGACGCTGTCTCATTTGCCAAGACATCAAAAATCAGATGGGCTGGACATGTAATGAGGTTTACAGACAACCACTGGACTAGAGCCATTACTAATTGGATTCCACGAGACATCAAAAGATCACGTGGACGCCCACCTATAAGATGGTCAGACTTCTTTGTCAAGACCCTAAATGATCGGTTTGAGGCTCTACATGTTCCTAAAACGAACAGATACCATTGGGCTACGCTAGCACGCAACCGGGATGAATGGAGACGTTACTGGCACCCGCTCAAATAAATCGATGAATAACGGGGATTAAGTGATTAAGTGATTAAGTGAATACAAACATAATTTTTAATCTCCGGTCACACTTCAGCTACATCCCCTCTTTCTGTGCCCTCCCCACTTTTGATTTGCAATATCAGGGGCCCCTCCTCCTATAGAAGCTGGGAGCAGGGCACAGAATGGGGATGGAAGAGCATTGAGGAGGATCCTCCGTGTCCTTGCCTAGGTGCAAAGGGGGCACTGAAGCCATCCTGGGGTGGCATAGTCCTGAGTCAAGTCAGAGGGAATAAGGGGAGGCATTCTGGGAAGACCTTGGCCAGTTCATGTGGCTGCCAACATTCAGTACTTGGAGCAGAAAGAAGAGGGGGATTACGTGTCACCTGCTAGTGCTGGTGGTGCTGCAGGGATGTAAGGGAGAGTCTTGACAGAGAGAGAAGTGCAGGAAGAGGCCAGGAGTTACAGGATTCGGTGTGGCTAGATGGTCTGACTCACAACAGCATAGTGGTCTGGACAGAAGCAGTTGCTGGGATTGGGGAGGAGGGTTACTATGTACCCCATGGCAGGGAATGGGTGGGGGAGCCAGGTGAGAAACACAGGTTGGGGAAGATAAGCTCGGCTATCCTGATTTAGACATTAAACAGAAGAGCAAGTAGCAGCCACACAATTGAGCAACCACACAGTAGAGAGCAGGACAGAGATTTTTGTAATAGGTGGGAAACAGCCCCAAGTATAAATTAAGAGCAGACTCATCAAATAAACTCCGGAGCATCTATAGCACAGACAGATGCAGACAACAGGAACACGGGGTTCAGGGAATGTGGAAGCTGAGCAGGTACAAGGCACGGCTGGACGACTTTTCCGCTCTGACTTTTTTTTTTTGTTTCAACCATTTTTTACAACATCTACCAGGAACATGAAGTATATGTTTATTGAAACTGGACAGAGAGCTCGGAAATCTGGACCTCACACACTGCAGAGTAATCTTTAGCCCATAAGTTCAGTGGAATTACTACAGTAAGAAAAATGGGCATTCAATGCATAGTCCCACAGTCTACCTACAAATTACAAAGAGAAGAGATATTTTAACAGAGAGAGAACTGATTGGATGTCTTTCACCCCATAAGGAAGTCTAGCTTCACAAAGCCAGCACAGAGGAATTGAGGTGCTCCTGGAGTGACCGGTGACAAGGAGAGTGCACATAACCTCAGGTGAGAAAGGTCACATCACAATATATAACCAGGATCTAATCATAGGAAAACAACAAGATAGGGTACACTTGCCTTGCAAGTGTGGGGCCCTAAGTTCGGTCCCTAGCACAATGAAGGAAGGAAGAAAAAAATAAAAGCAAGGAAGGGAGGGAGGGAGGAAGAGAGGGAGGGAGGGAGGGAGGGAGGGAGGGAGGATACTACTAGATAATTCTAAATAGTCTTCTACAGAAAATAAGCTTAGACTCCTCAAAAATATCCAATGCTGTGAAAGGAAAGGGGAAAAGGAAAGAACAGGTAAAGAGAAGAGAAGAGAAGAGAAGAGAAGAGAAGAGAAGAGAAGAGAAGAGAAGAGAAGAGAAGAGAAGAGAAAAAGACCAGTTGCCAGTGGCAAGAGAAATAGTTCAAAGGGTCGGAGCACATAGCTGGCATGCAGAGACCCAGGTTTGATTCTGACACCACATGTTCCCCCAGAATTTCCAGATGTAGTCCTGGAGTTCCCCCTAAATGCAGAGCCCAACCACTGAACCATTGGGCCTGCACAGTCAGGGTGAGTATCACCATGAATGAGTGCAGGCCCCCCTGAGCACTGCTAAATAAAAATGAAACAGTTACTGGAAGGCCTGCTCTAGATGGATGGAGATCAGACTGACGTGACATCTGAAGCAACCTGGCTCCTGGCTGGCCCGGTTTAATGGGTGCTATAAAGGATATTTTTAGGAAAACAGAAATTCTAACCAGGTTGTGTCTGAAATGATTTTAGGATACAATGTTCAACCTTTTTTTTTTTTTTTGCTATCATAACGGCTTTATGGTTCAGGAGGAGAAAGCAACTTTTCCTGGGAGTATTGGAAGGTAATAGCACCAAGATGTCAACAACAACAAAACACGTTGATCCAGCAAAGGGAAGTAGAGGTATTTTGGAGCACCTTTGAAATTTTCCTAGCTCTGAGTTTTCTAAAGTTAAAAATTCGGGGAAGAGGGAATACTACAAATAATGAAAAAGACATTTGGGACCAGAGCAATACTACAGCGGGTAGGGCTTTTGCCTTGCCATGGCTGACCCAGGTTCAATCCCCGTTATCCCATATGGTCCCCCAAGCACTGCCAGGAGTAATTACTGAGTGCAGAGCCAGGAGTAACCCCTGAGCATTGCTAGGTGTGACCCAAAGAGAAAAAAATGAAAAACACATTCACTGGGTTCCCTCCAAAGCCTTTCTTTGGTTGAGACTATGTGAGCAACATTCCCACGAGCATAGCCAGGTGTGGGGCATGAAACTCTGTGTGCAGAACACAGTGGAGAGATTGTACCTAAATGCTGCGGGGGACAGAATCTACCAGGCAATGATCTCCCTCACTGCCAGTGCAACACACAGAGGTGAAGGATTTCATTTTCCCAGGCAGAGGCCTTAACCATGTATCCTTCGGGGCACACTCCACTATTTCTCCTAACCAAACGTTTCTCTGCTCTGCAAGCTTTCGTAGGCTTGCACGTGTTGTGTGGATGAGAAGAAAAGTGACCTACCTGCCTGATGGTAAGAAACATAAATGGGGCAAAATGAGAAGGAAGAAAATTCTCAATTGCTAAACACCCCATCTCTGATAAAGGTCCCACCCGGGAAATTATCCTTCTAAGGTAGGAAATAGAAATAGGGTCCTGCCACTTCCTTACATAGCCGCAGAACTCATTGACCCCCTGCCTCTGTTTTCTGGAGGTCCAGATTGTTTTTAGGTCACAAAAACTTCTTAAGAATGAATGAACTGGTGTTTGGGCCTAATTCTGTTGTAGTGGCTGTTGCTATTTTCACGTGGGTGCCTTGGGAGCACATCATGAAAAAGCAGAAGAAACAGGAAGATCTTGCGAACTTACCTACTGCGGCAGCTGTCTTAGATGTTGGAAGATTCGTGCAGTCCCCAATCCCAAACACATTTGGGAATTTCGTGTGCTGCAGAGTTTCTTTATTCACATCCACCCATCCAGCAGCATCCGCCACCGGACTGTTCTTGAGGACATCTGGTGCACTCATTGGTGGGGTAACATGAAGCATTTCATACTACAGAAAGAGAGCATTGGGTTTCCGTCACTTTCTTTCTCTCCACAAGTCCTCCCCTTACACCTACCTAGCCCACACACCATCCAATGGCTACAAGAGGCACCAGTCCACAAGTTCTCAGGCCATACAGATCCTCTCCAAGATCTTGGGTGTTCCCACAGAGCAGTGATGACATGGCTACCCATTCTCTTGATTGACAGATGTGAAGTGCACGTGACCCCTTTTGCAGCAGGAAAGGAGAAACCCAAAACATCATAATGAACCCTGACATCCAGAAAGAACCTATGGATGCTTCTATGATTATAAATTAACAGGTACTATACTGCAGTTTCTCTCTCCCTAACACTCAGCTGTTGAGTGGCAAAAGCAATCTCTCTCAAAAAGAGAGAGAATCTGTTTCACCAAAAGCACCATCCATCCCCGCAACTCTCAAAAGCCCAGTTTAAGATCACAGAAAGGCTAGTGACAAAACTGGCAAGCACTCTCAGCTGGGAGAGAGGGCTGGTTCAGAACTGAGTTCACTGATCAAGTCAAGGGTCAGGGTGGATTTTTATATAGCCTGTAGCAGGATTTTCACCAGCAACAGCACACACCCCTTCCTCCTGATTTTCCATGATTTTTTTGTTTGTTTATGAACTTATTTTTTTAAAGTTCATTCTTTGTTTACTTTTTGTAAGAAATAATACTTGGCAATCTCAAATTGGTTTAAATGTTCATAAATCATGTTACACTAGGGTAAAATCTTTAGATTCTTGAGATGATCCCAAGTTTGTGATCACCATCAACAGTCTCAGGTTCCATGAGCAGGTGCCTGTCTTCATGGGCTCGCAGTTATTTATAGGGTGTAGCTCCCTGAGATCTAATCTGCTCATGGACATAGTTTCTAAACACATGTCGGCAGAGCAACAGCTAATGGATGGAACAGGTACAACCATCAACCACCGAAGGGAGACCTCTCCTGTACTTCTGCAGTAAACTAGAAACATGTTTCGAACTTGGGTCTAAATCTTACAGTGCTGGAGTTAATATGCTTGGGTCTCACAAATACATATGAATTCCACATGTCTTTTCTACAAGGAGAGTGAAATGTTTGCACAATTATCATAAAGGTATGACTTGTTACCTGAGCTAAGAAACTACCCAAAAGAAAAACTAGAGACTACTTCATGGGCTTACTAAAAAAAAAAAAAAAAAAAAAACCCTGGCAAGTAGTTGCGGCTTTATCTGTACATGGTATTTCCAGAAACCATGTACAATAAATAACTTGTCTCTGCTTCAATAACATAAGTGGTTTTCAATGTAGTTTCCAAACTTGAGGGTCTCCAGAATCACACTCACCAGGGCAGGGTGATCCAAAGGATCAAACTTACAGTCTCATCCCTGAAAAGCAGACACTCAACCACTAAGCCACATGCCTGGGCCCCAGTATCTGCACTTTCAAAGTCTTTCAATGATTCTTACGCATGTAACCTGTGAATGACAATCTTAGAGACTCTGGCTTGAAGGAACAGGTTCATTTACAATGAAATGCTATTACTTGGACAAGACACTTTACCTCCATATGCTTATCTATAAAGAAGTGTGAAGATTCAGCTAGATTATCTCCAAAAGCAATTTTCCAAAAACCCTAGAACTCTATAATATAAACTAAGATTATATATTAATATATATGATATATCTACTAATCATAAGAGACTTAAGCCAGTTCACAAGCTCTCTATTAAGGTCAGAGACTTTTGATCTTAAGCTTTTGAGGAGTCATTTAACTCTATTTTTAAAATTTTTCTAATAACACTAAATTTATTCAATACACTAGTGAAAGTTTTAATTATAAGTATCCAAAAGTTTAAAAAATATAAAACAGATGTGTAGATTTCTACTACATTAATATAAAGTACATGACTACATACAGTACATCCTATGGGCAGAGGTCATTTAACTCTTTACAATAGTGGTTCTCAATCCAGGTTGTATGTCAGAGTCATTAAGGGAACTTTTGAAACTCAGTCCTCAGTTCTCAACCTGACCTTAATCACTTGATCACTGGATATCCCATTACTCATCAATTTGCTCGAGCGGGTGCAAGTAACGTCTCCATTCATCCCTGTTGTGTGCTAGCATAGCCCAATGGCACCTGCTCATTCTAGGAACACTAAGAGCCTCAAACCGATCATTTAGGGTCTTGAAAAAGAAGTCTGACCATCTTGTAGGTAGGTGGCCACATGATCTTTTGACATCCCGTGGAATCCATTCGGCAAGGGCTCTAGTCCAGCGGCTGTCTCCAAATCTCATTACGTGTCCAGCCCATCTAATTTTCGATGCCTTGGCAAACAAGACAGCGTCCCTGATTCTTGAGCATTGACGGAGGTCGGAACTCCGGATTCTTTCTCTCATTTGAGTGAAGCTTGATACTCCAAGCATAGCTCTTCTGATTCCTCTTTGAGAGACCTGAATAGCGTTCTCATCCTGTTTTCATAGGGCCCAGGTCTCTGAGACGTATGTTAATGCAGGAAGAACAATGGAATCGAAGAGATGTGCTCAGAGCTGGAGGTTCTTCGTCCTCTTAGTTATTTCTTCAATGTTCTTGAAGGCGTTCCAAACTGCTCTCTTCCTCCTGCGCAACTCAGGTGCCAGGTCATTTGTCATGTTGACTTCTCGACCTAGGTACACATAACTGTTGCATTTGGAGATGGTTGTTCCATTGAGAGCGAATGGAACATCAGGAACAAGGCTGTTTCTCAGGAACATTGTCTTTGTGAGATTCAGCTGTAATCCAACCTTTCCACACTCACGGTCGAAGTTGGTCAGTATTTGTGCCACTTGGCTGATGTTTGGTGTTATTAGAACAATGTCATCAGCAAAGCAGAGGTGGTGTAGTTGCCGACCATGTATCTTCACTCCCATTCCATCCCATTCCAGTCATCACATGATGTTCTCGAGGGTGGCATTGAAGAGTTTCAGTGAAATAGTATCACCCTGCTGAACCTCTCTCTTGACACTGATGATCACTTCTTTGTAGAAAGGTGAGATCCTGGTAGTGAATCCATAATACAGCTCACAGAGGATCCTGATGTATTGAGTTTGAATGCCCTGATTGGCTAAGGCTTCTATGACCACTTCTGTCTCAACAGAATCAAAGGCCTTCTTTAAATCAATGAACACTAGACAGAGCGGCATCTTGAACTCCCGAGAAACCTCAATGAGCTTGGTTATCATGTGAATATGGTCGATCGTGCTGAATCCTTTGTGGAATTCGGCTTGCTCACATGGTTGTCCTTCATCTAGTGTTCTGCCAATCCTATTCAGGATGACTCGAGTGAACAGCTTGTAGATGACAGACAATAGGCAGACTGGGCCTTAGTTGCCAATGTCATGGATGTCTCCCTTCTTGTATAGTAGTACAGTCCTGCTGGTTTTCCACTGGGATGGAACCTTGCATTCAGACAGGTAGCGTGTGAAGAGCCGAGCCAGTTTATTGATGAGTACTGACGGTAGGTTCTTCAGGTGTTCAGGTCTGACCTTGTCTAGGCCAGGTGCTCTTTGTTTCTTTACCGACGAGATGGCATATTGGAATTCGGAAGGGAGAACGTTGGGAACAACATATCCATCCTGCGGAATTTGATCACTTGATATCCCGTTACTCAACACAACCTAACTCATCAAATTTTCTGGGGAAGAAAGAGAAAGAGCTCAAAGGGATAGAGCATGTGTTTTGCATTCAGAGGGCCCACATTTGATTCCTAGTATTAGCTGATCCCTGAAGCACCAAACTGGGACTAGTCCCCAAGTACCACTGGGCTGGTCCAAAAACAAAATTGTGAAAAAATATCTCTGGGCTTTAGACTCAGGCATCATTGATTCCAAAGCACAGCCAGGACTGAGAGTCACTCTTTCAAAACCTTTTTGGTCTAATTTTTGAAATTTATATTTTAAGAATAGAACTAAATCTAGGGGGGGGGGAATCTACCTTGAAATCTTATCATTCAAGGGGGAACACAAAGATCTTCTGTCCTTACAATTCATTAGAAGAACAATAACCATATCCAAGTCCCTACTGAACTCAATGATCTCAATGATGCAGAACACAGCTAAGAATGGAAATAAAAAAGATCAACCAACATAATTCAGTTCACACACTCAATTTCATGCCCTTTGATGATAAAAGGGTGCTCTGGACATTCAACTCATGGACCACTCACTTTTACTTGACTGAAACTTTTAACAAATTTGGCTAGCTTATTTTCCAGCCAATTAAAAAAATATTAGAAGCAGCAATTTAAAAGGGTTGAAACCTAAGGGTCTTTTCAGAAACACAACTGCATCATAGCCAGTAAAGAAAACAGGATACAGAGAGACATACAAAGCATGCAGGGAACTGAGAATCTTTCCTGAGGTATAAACCAGCCCTAACTATTCCTGTAGGTCTTTGCATCTCTATATAAGAGAGATACACAATTATGATCCTGAGCTGAAGTCAGAAGAAACTAAATGAACCTGGAACATCCTGAGACATCAGAGATCCAAGAAGTGTGATGGGGAGATGTCACAGACATCATTTGGAAGGGATTCCTACTAAACCTGGGGCAATTTCAGCACTAATATAATTAGACAATTACAAAATTATATACCACTGAGAAGTAACTAGGAATTCATGAGTTCATACCAATAACTATTTCCTTAAGAGAGAAGGGGAGAGAGACACAGCAGTGAATCCCAGAAGACAGCAGCTTGCTGGAGATCTCTCTGGACCCTGCACCAAGTCAATTCCACCAGTGTATCTCAAATGGAAAGGGTGTGCCCTCTCCGCCCACTCCAGATGAAACCCCCATGGCCACAAGCTTCCAGAAGCAAAACCCAGGTAAAAGAACAGGGACTAAGACTCCAGGCCACATGGTGACAGCAGAGACAGGCCTTCCCTTCCCATCTCCCAGCCCACTTGGGGTCCCAGCTGTCACATCCACAATCTGCCTCCGGGCACCATCTTAGAACATCAACAGTGTTGACCAGAGACTCCCAAATGAATCTCAAAATGAATTCGCTCCCTACAGAGATGTCTCTGGACCCCAACCATTTATAATTTTAGAATTCCAGAAGCACACACTCTGTGACCTTTCATGATATTCATAATTAGCAATAGAAAATAAATTATCTAGAACCTGCCCCTGGAAAGCAGGCTAGAATGGTGGTGGGAAAATTCAAAATAATGGTGGTGTGAAGGTGTAATGGGGGCGCAATTGGTGTTCAACTACTGAATATAATCAATGTGAACAACCTTATGAAAATAAAATTTTTTTTAAAAGAGAGAGAAAAAAATGGGATGTCTTTTGCTGACAGAATGTTGAGCCCTGTAGCCATCAGAGAATGTTAGGTTGGAAAATCAGGATTTTTCAAACATCACAGAAAAGACTGGATTCAGTAAAAATTGTCAATGAACACTAAATTCAAGGGAAACACTATTGTCAGTGAGATATCTGCATGGTCTTAAAATATTTCTACCGCAGATGGATGAGGAGGATGGGAGATAAAGAATAATTATAGAGTGAGGAAACTAGATCATATCTTGACTGGTGATAAAAATTAGCATAAAAGGAGCAGAGGACCATGATGTGCTTTGAATGGTGAGGCAAAAGAGCAAACATTGTTTATGTGCTATTTCCATCAACAAATGATAACCCAAAATTAATCATGAGGAAAAAAAGAGACTAGCCCCCAAATGAAGAACTTTGCATCAAAATATAAAAGCAGTGGAATACAGTGGGCTGTATTATCCTAAAATATCAGTATCATTCATAGGTGGCACAAAGAAAATCTATGGAAACATGAAAGGAGGCTACAGAGCATTGCAATAGGGTGTGATGCCTGACTGCAGGCTGGTCTGTCCTTGGCAGGGAAACAATGCCTGAGTGCAGGCTGTTCCTGTCCTGGGCAGGGAGAGTACTCACTAGGCTGCTGGGTCAGTGAAAAGAGAACACAAGTGGCCAATTTAAACACTGTGTCCAGGCTGGAGCAATAGTATAGTGAGTAGGTGTGTTTGCCTTGCATGCGGCAAAAATAGGTTCAATCCCATATGGTCCTGCGAGCCAAATCTGTGCTAAAAGTAGACTATGGACAGAACATGATGGCCACTTAGTACCCATATTATGAACCATAACAATCAAAAGCAGAGAGAGTTAAAAGGAATGTGCCTGCCACAGAAGCGGCATGGGATGAGGCGGGGTGGTGGGAGGGATACTGGTGATACTAGTGGTGAAGAATGGGCACTAGTGGAGGGATCACTGTATGATTAAAAAGCAATCACAAAAGTTTGTAAATCTGTAACTGTATTTCATGGAACCATAAATAAATAAATGAAACAATGTATCCATGCTAAATATACTGAGTTCAAGACTATACTGCAGTATGTATGAGAATGCCCCTGTCTCCCAGGAAATTTACAATGATGTTTTTAGAGATAAAGAGTGATGACGTATGATGTATGCACCTTATCTATGAATGTTCCAGGAAAATTATACACATATATAATAACAATGCATGTTGTTATACTTAATAAAACACATTATATGTAAAAACAATATTGCACATAATGTGTTATTGTATGTAATTACAGATGGTACCCATATAATTATTCCATGTATACTACGTAAAGGTAGTAAATGATAAATGATAAAACAAATGTAGTTACAATTCTCTAAGAAGGGAACCAAGAGAACAGAACAGTGGATAAGGTGCTTGCTTTGTATGAGGCCAAGCTGTATTTGACTCCCAGTGCCCTATAAGGTCCCTGAGACCTGGGAGGAGAGATCCCTAAATGCAGTCAGGAGTAAGCCCTGAGTATTGTGGATGTGGCAAAAAAAAAATCTAGGTAAAGACTATAAATAGTTTTTTGTTCTGTTTTTATTTTTGCAAGTTCTTTAAGGTTGAGATTATTTTCAAATTAAGTTTTTTTTAATAACTATGTTCAGTCATCAGTAACAACTTTGAAAAGTCAGTAAACTTCATTTAAGAAAGGAAAGATAGTTGCAATACATAATAGAAAGAGTCTGAGCTAAAATGTTTAGAGTCTGAAATTTAGAATACCTTTGATTCATTTCAAAATTCCTTTTTATGGGACCGCTTTGAAAAAGCCTGAAAGAATTAAAATATGACTTGTGCAATGCCTTTTTATTTCTAACAGCTCTTTCCAGAGGTGGAAATCATTAAAAGATAATGATTCTTCCTCACAAGACTCTCCAGAAGCATTTACATCTTAACCTTCATACAGCTTGAAAAAGCATAATTCCAATTTTACAGAAGACCCTGAGATATCCAGAGGTCAACCCCCACTATAAAAGCCATATCTTTCCAAGTGAGAATATCACTGGTTTTCAAGAGTGTTTTCCACCATTCAGGTGAGAATTGTTTCAAGACTGCCCTTCCACAGGTGAAAGGTACCCATCTTTCTCAAACTACTCCAAGCAAAGCTGCTTCAAACCAAAGCTTGAGACACTCCGCAGCTCATGCATTTCCTAACTGAAGTAGGGAATTATTTATCATTGCTATGTGATCAGTGCCAAGAAAAGGAGAGACATAAATCAGATAAAAATGCATTTGTAATAAATCGTCCTCCCCACCCATGCATACAGCCTCTGAACTCATTCTCTTCCCCACCCATTTTCACTGACCTTAGAGACTCTTTTGTTTGGGATACTGGTGGGGGGCAAGCACACTCAATGATGCATGGAATGGGGCGTGGTGGCAGAAACACCATTAAGAAAAAAAGTTGGAGCCCAGAGCTCCAGCAAAGCATGCATCCCAGTCCTTAGAGTCCTGTCCCAAGCCTGAAATGTTCATTTTAACCATCCCCCGCCATCACCAGCACACTCTACAGACGGAAAGACTGGAAGACTCTCTCTGTCTCTCTCTCTCTCTCTCTCTCTCTCACACACACACACACACACACACACACACACACACACACACACCTCCCCCCGCATCTAGGACTCCGTTTAGCAGCCACTCACTGAAATCACTTGGGTCTCTCCAGGTTTGTCCAAGTTCTCAAACACCGCCTCTTGCCTATCAGCTCGGACTTCTATGAGGTTCTGCTTGTAGTTCACAGTGAGATTCCTATCCCGGATGATCTCCTGCAGGGCATCTGCATACTTCTTCACGGCAAAAATGGCTCCGAGGGAAGTGTTGAAAATGATATTGGCTTTGGTGCGCTTCCCTGTCTGGGAAGGGGGTAAATCAAACAGACAAGAACAGAAACAATCAACACTACAGCATTACTATCCCAGCCCTCTTTTCCAGACTGCTGAGACAAGAACTAAGACTGAGACATTTTCTCCCTCACTGGTGTCCCAGGTCAGGTGGGTGAGGACCAGCTCACTTCTGCTTTCTTTTCTATTTTCTGTCAACAGCTCGGCAACTCAGGGCACACTTGAGTCTAGTTCTGAAATGGGCACTTTGCAGCTGACGGTCAAAAATCAAGTCCAGAAAAAGATGGGGCTGAATTGTTTATTCACTGTCCTTTATTTTCTGATGCAAATGATATTTAATAAGGTCCCAGAGTTGGCCAGAGGGTGATGGAGGTGTTCAGACACAGCAGTGGAAAAAAGCAAAGCACCCGCTCCTTTTGGCCAGCCCACTGAGGTAAGGTCCACAGGTCTCAGGGAAGTCCATGCTGTCTCTCTGAATACCAAGGTTCAGGTGGCACCTGAAATGCAGATGTCCTCTCAGGCCACCCAACACTCTGGATAAAAAGAAGCAAGCTTCTTTGGGAGGCAAAAAACTTTTTCTTTTACTCTTTCGCTTTGCTGGATGCTTCAGAATTTGCTCACATGGAGCCCATTATTTCCTACAAGTCAGGCAGGTAAAAACTTCACAAGATTGTGCCAACTCACAATCTATAAAACCAGAAGGGCCTTTCTCAGAGAGTGTCCTTCTCAGACACCACAGCAAGTGTCTCTCCCCTCCTGCACTTCTGCCTCACAGACTAAGCACAAACTCCCCAGGGCTAGGCCAGTTTCCAAGCACTGCTAGGTCCCAGTCCAGCATCTCCTCCCTGCCAGTATCTTGATGGGATAGCTTCTGATCCTGCCCCTGGCTCGAGTCATGCAATGCTCTGGTAAACCAAATGACGGGTCCTAGTTAAGGGCCAGCAGGGAAGAGCGGGTCACCCAGCTTTCCCGAAGCAGTGCATGGTTGTGGACGCCTGCTCTTGCAGCGAGGATGCAGGATGAAAGCCTCCCACACTGGAACTGGCCTCTCCCCTGCAGAACCTCAGAGGGGGGACGTGGAGGCCCAGGACCCTTCCCAGGGTTCTCCCACTGACTGCGGCACTTCCTGGTTGCCCAAAGCCATAAGTTTTCCAGAACATTATGCTCTTTCTTTAGAACAAGCATTTTTCTTACTGTATTTCTAAAACTGTATATCATGAGAATTATTCATGACCCTGCAGTTGAGTGACAGAAGTTGGGAGGTAATATGATGAATAAAAATGAACAATATACAACTGATTATTTATGTGGGATTTATTTAAACAATCTCTAATGTACCTCCATAATAGACTTTTATATACACATTAACAAGTATGTTATGGGGGCTGGAGAAATAGTACAGCAAATAGGGCACTTGCCTGGCACACAGCCAACCCAGGATCATTTCCTGGCAACCCATAAGGTCCTCTGAGCCCTGCCAGGAATGCCTGGAGTAAGTCCTGAGCACAGCCAGGTGTGTTCCCCCACCAAAAAAAGTATGTTATAAAAATTGATACTATATAATGTATTTAAATTTGTATTACAGTATGTTACCTGTTACCATGTTAAGATAAAAATATAGGGAAAAATGGGAAAGCAGGCCAAATTGATGATTAACTATGTTAAGCAATGGATTATTTCCTTTTTTTCTATTTTATGAACTTCCAAAAATACTTCGCACATGTAGCAAAAAAAAAAATTCTGGAAATGAGAAGGTCATCAGCATGGGTAAACTAAGGAATCTGGCAATCACTAAACCGAACCACCTGCCTCCTTGTCGCTGTATCTGGAAAGACATTGTACCTTCTGGAAATAGTCTTCCGATAAATACATGATCTTCTGTGGGGCTCCAGCACACTTTATTGGAGTATTTGGGAAAGTGAAGATGGCATTGCCCTCCTTGAAGTCCTGCAGAGCTTTCCATGTCTTCTCCACTGTCTTAACAGAATAATTGGAGCCTATTTTGGGGTGGTCAAACCCTTCAGGTAGGCCTTTAATCTGCAACAGAGCACACAAAGAGACAACTGTAGCACCTAAGTCACTCTCAAATTACATGTAGTAAATTTCAGCCTAAGTGAAGCCCTCCACCTCCCTGGCCTTGAGACCATGATTTGGACTTAACTCTTTCCAACATCAGTGAAGAGTGAGCACAAGAAGCCAGACCTTCCTTTTGGGGAGAATCATTTACCTCGCTGGGAAGAAAAACTACAGGCAGGACCAAGAACCAGAGCATCAGAAGTGCCACATTTAACCTTCTATCTGTAGTTTAGGTAATATGGTCACAACCATGTTAAAAGTTTATAGTTGATGTACTACTGCACACCCTCAAGAGTGCCGAACACCCTCCATCACTGTCCTTATGTCGAGTCCTGTCAATCTTCCTTCCCTTCCTTCCTTGTTTATTGATAAATTTTGTAATCCAGTGCTAAGAGTTGTCATTGTTGGCTATTGTCTATTCCCTTGTTTAGTCCTTCTATAGTCCACAGATAGTATTTGTTTTACAATTCCTGACCCATTTCACTTAACAGGATCCCCACCAGTTCTGGCCATGCTGCAGCAAAATGCATGAGTTAATCTTTTTTTACAGCTTTGTATTATTCCATTATTATATATACATATATATACACACACATATATATATAATACATGTACAACCTCAACTTGTGTGTGTAGGAGTTGTGTATAACTTGTATATGTACAACTTCTTTATCCATTCATTCATTGTAGGACATTCGGGTTGCTTCCATATCCTGGCAATTGCACTATGAGCTGCAATGAATACAGGTGTGCCTGTATATCATTTCATATTAATGTTTTTGAGCTTTGGGGAACTTTTTTAAAAGTACAAGGCTGATTTACAATGCTGTATGTTTTAAGGGTAAAATTTCATACTTTTTCACACCACACCTACCATGAAAGCACCAATATTTAACACAACATAAATAATCTTTTGCCAAGCTGTTTCAGAGAAAACTCTTGGCAAAGGCTGTCGAGCCAAGTCATTGAACTTGGGAAGTTCATAGGCCCAACTTGAGCCTGATCTTTCCCACTTTAAAGCCTAGTGATTCTGGGAAATTATCTGGTATCTCAAAGGGTGATCTCTGGACCAGCAATACCAGCACCTCTTGGGAACAAGCTAAAAATGCCAAATATGTTGATCATTTGTAAATGGAGGTAAAAATAGCTGCTTTTTAGGATGGATGGTGGAGAAAAAAAATGGCATGGGCTTGAGGGAACAAACAGTGGCCAATGAAAACAGAACCTGCTAACAGAACTGAGTCGGAGCAGCAAGTGAAGAGAGATGAAGGGGCCCAGGATGGTAGTGAAGAGATTCTGACGCTCTGGGTGTGAGTATAGCGCAGTCATGTTGTCTTCCTAAAGCATAAATATTGAAACTATTACAAATCATGACACATCAACAATAAGAGATTACAATGACATGTTTCTGGCAAATGCTCCATAAATGTTAAGTTTGCTGCCAGTCATATTAACTCACTCCTTGTCTTCATAGGTAGTGGGTTCACATTGCAATAGAGAGGGCACAGATAGAGTTGGGACCAGTTGTTCCAACACAAACAGGAAACTGTCAAGCCAATCATGGGCACAGCTGCTCTCTGGACTGAACATCACTGATGCATACTTCAAGCCCCACAATAGCTCCACAATGTTGGTGATGAGGTCAACTATTCCTTGGACTACATATATTCACCAAAGTTTAGTTGAATAAAATATTAGCAGCCTCAATAAGAGCAATGATGATTTTATTAGTGCAAAACCCCTTGCTGAGTGGTTGGAGAGATAGTGCAGGGGATGGAGCACTTGCCATCCCGAGCATCACATATAGTCCCCTGAGCCCCGTCAACAGTCATCCCAGAGCACAGCCCTCCCCACCCACCCCCCACCAAAAAAAAATCACATTGCAGGGGACAGGAGTCTCCAGCATCACAAGGTCCATCAAGGTAATTCCTGGCACTGCAGGGGCCAATAATCACTGTACTCTCAGGCCCTTGCATTGAACCACCAGCCTGGTTGGCCCAGAGAGACTGCCAGACATCCTGAACACCATCTGGGAAGCAACACACCCCCGCCCCCACAATCACCTTGCAATGTTTCCAAAATATCACCTCTCTGCTAACACCCATGCATCTCGGGGGAAGTAGAGAAACATCAAGAGCCCATAAACACACAGGAGGAAACTCAGGTTTGATCCTTGATACCACATGGTCAGTCTCCTGAGCAGTGCTAGGAGTGGCAAAAAAACAAAGCAGCATTGAGATTTATAGTGAGGAAATAATATTGATTACTATCATGGTCTCTCTATGCAGTAGCACTGTCGCACCATCCTCCCGTTGTTCATCAATTTGCTCAAGGGGACACCGGTAACGTCTCCATTGTGAGACTTGTTGTTACTGTTTTTGGCATATCGAATATGCTATCGGGAGCTTGCCAGGCTCTGCTGTGCAGGCGGGATACTTTCGGTAGCTTGCTGGGCTCTCTGAGAGGGACGAAGGAATTGAACCTGGGTTGGCTGCATGCAAGGCAAACGCCCTACCTGCTGTGCTATGGCTCTAGCCCTTTGTATACAGTAAATACTACGAAAGCTACTTTAAAATATAGTTGTTTCCTATTTTATTGCAAAAGGCTGCTAAGAGCTCTGGGTACGAATGTCTGGTTCAAACACTGCCCTCACATGGCATGGGAGTGTAGAAGGACACAATATGGCTAAAATGCAGTCAGTGTCTTTGACTAGGTCAACACTGATGGTGGCTGGCAAGGTACAGAGCTCCGAGAAGCTGCTACTAGCTCCCTTCTCCATAGGATCTGCTCCATGAGTTTTCACTTCGTAGAACTCATGACCTGAGTGACCAGGACCCAGCTCAGTTCATAGTCTTCACTCCATGCTTCTTGGAGCCTTAGGGACACATGCCACAGCATTTTTTCCTATCTTCAACCTGTACATGTCATGATTCAGGGCTGTTCTATTTAATTTTTTATTCCAATCGTATATAATGTCAATGATAGGGTTCTATGCATACAATACTGCACCAGAATGTCTCTTTTCCTCTTTTCCTCCCCTTCTTCCCCTAACACTTTATCAACACCCCTTTCCACTACTGCCAACCCCTACCCTCTTCTCATGCCCTGGTAAACTCAGTTCTGTGGACCGGTTCTTAGATTCTGTTCCTTTTGGATTGTTGCTATCCCCCCCACCACCACCACCACTATGCTTCTTTATATCCCACATATGAGAGAGAATTTTGTTTGGTTTTGGCTTTGTTTACTGGCATTTTGGTAGGACCAATCCTGAAGATAAATGGTTTGGCAGTGTGGGCCTAGCAATTTGGTATTTCAGTTGGTGATATGGTGAGGCTGAGGCCTAGCCACCAGGGCCACACCCAATGATTCAACTTTTTTATACAGAAACACACTTCAAAGGTCCTTAATGAGCCAACCAGGGTAAAGCCTATGCCTGAGTGACATTCCAGAAGTTTGTGAACAAATGTCACTATGTTTTATGTGCTCCAGCCACAGATACTCAACAATCTTCTTGAGAGAATAACAACTGACTTTCTCCATTATGGTTTGGAAAAATGAACTTGAAACTCACAATTTTCAGCATCTGGCTCCCTAGTTTACTGAAAACAGAGACAGAGGAATTCTGAAGAGTAACAGTCAAACTTCCAGCCTCCAAACAGCAAAACCCAGTTATCATTCCAGTGTCTGACCAAAATAAAAGATGGTTGCTTAACCCCAGAAGTCTTCTTAGTTTGACTTAATTAGTCCAAATATGACTTTCAAAAAATTTAATCTGAAACTCAGTCTACAGCTAGTTTTCTTGGCCAGGGTTAGAGCTCAGCAGTAGAGCACTTGCTCTACATATATGAGACTTTAAGTCTGGTCCCTGGCACCAGGGAAAATTATGAAATGAAGGACACAAGGAGAGAGTTCAGTGTGTCTTGCATGCAGCAGCCCCACAATGGACTCCCAGGTCAGCAGTGTTCCCCAACCACCACACCAAGATAGCCCTGGTGGCCGTTAGCACTGCCAAGGCAAACAGCCCAACATCACTGGGTCTAAGTACTGAACTGTCTGGCCCAGTTGGCAAAGTATTGCTGAGAGTAGCTCCTGAGCAATGCTTGGGAGCACCTCCACCAAAAATACATTGACTGGAGAAAGAACTCAGGAGGTTTCAGCAGAAAAGAGCTCCTGAGTACCACTGGATGTGGCCCCCAAAACAATCTCTTTAGGAAAGGTTGTCTGCGGAGAGTGACAATAGAATGTGAGTGTGCTAGACTCTAAATCCAGAAGCTATCATTATAACTGAGAGAAAAGAACTTTTTCTTGTTTTGATAACATCATAGAAAGACTGCTGAGTAACAAAACTAGCAGAAGGCTTCTTGGAATTCTTGTAAAAATGAACATAAAGCAACTCAATGCAGTGTTTGCTCCTGGCATGAGGAGGTCTGTATTACACAGAAGCACAGAAAACAGTACCTTCTCGTAGTCCAGCTGGATTCCCAGAGCAATAATAAGGTACTTGTAGGCGATCTGCAACACAAAACAATGTGAATTTAACCAAGATCCCGAACACCTTCTCCAGAGGCTGACTCAGACCCTGTCCATGTGTGGCCTGTACCACACTTCCATGTTCCCCTGTCAATGGCTGAGGAGCAGAGCAGTAAGGAGGCGGCACACTTCTACCATCATCACGCTCACCCTTCTAGCTGCCTCACAACCAAACTGTTCCACCAACACTGCAAACTCTGCCCTCCCGTAAGGCACCAAGATGCCCACATTTTCACAATTTTATACACTAGATAATGCTAGCCAAAAATCTGCAATTATTTGTGCTATGCCTGTGTTAACATTTTTTTTTTCACACTGAAAGCTGGGAGAATAATGTCCAAATCTTAAAAGACAACCAAGAGTCTTTCAAGATCAATGGTGTTATGCATGAAGGAATACCTAGCAAATCTCACCTGTCTTATGGCTTCAATCAATATCCTCACTGCAAAACTGCTCTGCTGAGGGCCAGTGAGGAGACTGTAATATTCCCAGCCCGATCCCGCTTAATGATCAGCTTGGAGATTAACAAGGCCCCTCTTTACATACAGGTACAGTGGATTCTTCAGGCTGAGGGGGGAGTGCCATATATACAGTGATAGAAATGAGAGTTTAGACCCAGGAAGAGAACAGATTGAGGTCAGAAAAATGTAAGAAATGAGGAATGCCAAGGTCAAGCACTGGCCTGGAAAAACAGAGAGGATGATAGGAAGGAAACTCAGGAGCTCAGAAGGAACAGCAAGGGGTGATCACCACAACCCCAACACAGGAGAAGCAAAGAAGAACACAGTAGAGACCCCAGGTGAGAGTGTTGGGTTCAAGCTGGGTGAACTCAGGGTGAATCAAGTCCCTGAGGGAATTCCTTGCCCTGGGACCCAGGGCATTCATTTCCCAGTGAGACCTCCCCAAAAGTTCCCCAAACACTATGGACAGGATGTTTTACAGCACTTGTCACATCACACAGGACAATGTCCTCTCCCACTACATGCCTAAGGACCATAAAGGGTCCTCTGTCTAATTCCTTGATTTCTCAAATCTACCAGTCACTAAGTTAAATGAGGAACTTAGTAATGCTGGATAAATGGATAGATGGATGGAAGAAGGGACAGAGGGAGGGAATGATGGATGGATGGATGGATGGATGGATGGATGGATGGATGAATAGATAGATGCATAGATGCATGGAGGGATGGATGAGGGGAAGGATAATGGATGGAGGGAGGGATAGATGAAGAGAAGGAAGGATGAGGATTTCTGTTGCTCATGAAAAATACAACTAATCAAAGTGGACAGATAATATGCATGTCTTTATTTGTATGCTCTGCCCAGCCAAAGAGAACTAGCAATTTCTTGTCCTTTAGGAACATGTTCTGGGCCCATTCAATGGGTTGAGTCTTCAGGGTCTGTAGGTCACAGTGGGGCTGGGATCTGGGTTGGTGACCTATAGATAAGACACACCAATACTGTCATTAAGAAAATCCTGTGCTTTGTGCATGCCTTGAAGATTTAATTAGGGCCTTCTATAAGTTCTGACACTAGCAACTTATTAAATAGGATGTCCATTCATTGAAAAATTCCAGACACATCTACAAAATAGATGTCTGCTTCTAATTTACACAATGAGGAGGACAAACTGGATTCAGACTACAAACCTGCTTTGTACCAGCAATCAAGAACTATGATGGCACCTAGTGGCTATTCAATAAAAGTTTCCTTTATCCTATTTTTTCAAATAATCTCTTCAAAATCATAACAGAACTATTTCTTGAGCATTCATGCTGTGCAAGGCATTGTTCTTAACTGAATATATTTTGCACAACTTAGCTCTTTAGTATCCTCAACAACTCAATCAAACATTACTTCTTCTTGTGAACCATGTGTAAGATCCCCAAGCATTACCAGGAGTGACCCCTAAGCACTACTGGGAATAGCCCAGAATGACAACAACAAATTAAAGAGAAAATCTTTTAAGTAATGAGGGATAACCGGCTAGAGACTCAGCCCTGGGACATGTAAATAACAACTAGTTTTAAATTCAATCCACCACCCCATGAACCCTGGGATCCCAATTTTTCTGTGTTTTTATTAATACTCATCAGCTTTAATAGAATTTATTATCTCTTGCTTATTGCATTTCCGTCCCCACTAGAATACAAAATCCAGGGCAGTAAGGATTTTCATCTGCTTTTGTTTACATAAAATTGTGCAGAGCTTATTGTAGATGGTTGATAAATTGTAGAAGAAAGAAAGAGAACAAGAGGGAAAGGGAGGGGAGAGGAAGGGGAAAGAAGGTAGAGAGAGGTCAGAGAGCAATGAGCAGAACTACTATAAGGCAGGTATTCCTGATCAGGGTTTAGGGAAAGGCTACAAAAAAAAATCTCTGAGCAACTTAATTAAATGCAAATTTTAGAACATGTGCATTTTTTTTCAGAGAGGGTTTTCTCAAATGTTCAGGAAAAAAATCTCTGTGCACCTTAATTAAATGCAAATTTTAGAACATATGTGCATTTTTTCAGAGGGCTTTCTTGACTGTTCAGGGGACAAAATGGCCCCACAAAACATTAAGAATGCCTGTAATATTGAATTCCTGCTTAGTAGGGGTTGCATTTTAAAACCTCCCACATTCCCCAACACAACTCGATTCTGCAAAAAAGGCTGTGTGTTTAATCGGGAGGGGAAGTGGGCAGGGTACCAAGACCAATAACACATTAAAGGGCCCGAGAACCACAAGAGCAGTTGTGGTTACTGCCTCCACTCTTCCAGGGTCAAGAGCAGCTGACATTGTCTTCTCCTCCTGCTCGCAACCCCTTTGTCAAACAAGCAGGCAGCACAAGGACCAATAATCTCTGATCCCTGGGTAGCAGGATAGAAGGATATTTCTAAAAGATGCTGAGCAAAAGTAGGTCCCGGGTTCCAGCATCAATAATTCTTTTTTTTTTTATTATTTTTTATTTTTTTTATTAGTGAAACACCATGAGGTACAGTTGTAAATTTACAATTTTTTGTGCTTGGGTTTCGATTATACAATGATCAGATACCCATCCCTCCACCAGTGCCCATTTTCCACCACCATGGATAATATCCCCCCCACCCCCATCCCCTCATCCCCCCCTGCCTCTGTGGCAGGGCAATCCCCTGTGTTCTCTCTCTCCTTTTGGGTGTTGTGGTCTGCAAAAGAGGCATTGAGTGGCAAACATGTTCAGTCCATAGTCCACTTTCGACATGCATCTCCCCTCCTGGGAGGATCCTCCAAACACCCTTTATTTGGTGTTCCCTTCTCTATCTGAGCTGCCCTTTCCTCTAGAATGCCCGACTGGCCACTAAGCTATGGAGTAATCCTCCTGGTGCTGATCTCAACTATTCCTGGGTATTAATCTCATATTTTGTTACTTTATATCCCCCAGATGAATGCAATCTTTCTATGTCTATCCCTCTCTTTCTGACTCATTTTGCTTAGCATGATACTTTCCATGTTGTACCACTTGTATGTAAATTTCATGACTTCATCTTTTCTAACAGCTACATAGTACTCCATTGTGTAGATGTACCAAAGTTTCTTTAACCAGTCATCTGTTCTTGGGCATTCAGGTTTCTTCCAGGTTCTGGCTATTGTAAAGAGTGCTGCAATGAACAAACAAGTGCAGATGTCACTTCGACTATACATTTTTGCCTCTCTGGGATATATTCCCAGGAGAGGTATTGCTGGGTCAAATGGGAGCTCAATTTCTAATTTTTTGAGAATCGTTCATACTGTTTTCCAGAAGGGCTGAACCAGTCGACATTCCCACCAACAGTGAAGGAGTGTCCCTTTCTCACCACATCCGCGCCAGCATCGGTTGCTTTTGTTCTTTTGAATGTGGGCCAGTCTCTGAGGTGTGAGATGGTATCTCATTGTGGTTTTGATCTGCATCTCCCTGATGATTGATGATGTAGAGCATTTTCTCATGTGCTTTTTTGCCATTCGGATTTCTTCTTTGAGAAAGTTTCTGTTCATTTCATTGCCCCATTTTTGGATGGGGTTGGATGTTTTCTTCTTGTGGAGTTTAACCAGTATTTTGTATATCCTGGATATCAACCCCTTGTCAGATGTGTATTCGGCGAATATCCTTTCCCATTCTGTAGACTGTCTTTGTCTTTTGGTCACTGTTTCTTTGGAGGTGCAGAAGCCAGTATCAATAATTCTTAGCCCTAGCACCACCACCCTGAACCCCACCATTCCCTTCCAACTCTGGCAGAGTGTCCCCTAGTGTGACTGAGATCGGATGTCAGGTAGAAAAGCTGGCTGCTTCTAAGGAAAAAAGGAGGGAGTTACCGTAATGCAGCAAGAGTGCTTGTTGAATAGATCCCAGGTGCATCTGCACCAAATAGGAGAAAAACAGTGGGTTTTCAACAGGTACTTATCTCATTGTCCACTTTGTCATTCCATCTCTCCCCCACTTCCATCCACCAGACACCCTGCATGCACGCAACTGCACACAGGCACACAACAACCACCACTAAGGTGCCCAGTCTGATCATAGCTATGCAAAGTGCACGCAATAAGAAAAGGGAATAAGAAAATAAGAATAAGAAAAGGGAAAAGACCCCAGCAGTTACCTCCTCTCCACTGCCTGTGCGGATACAGTTCTTCTCTGGGTTGAACTCAACCACTCTGTCCTTGATCCACTCGATACCAGATGGAATCACGCTGGCTGTCGGACGGCCCGATGAGGCTAACTGCTTGGCACCTGCACCCACCAGTGTCCAGATTGGCTGGTAGAAGTGTCTCTGAGAAACAAAGATTTAGTTTTGTATTTGAGGCCAATCCAAACAATGGGGAGCACAGCCAAAGAAACAAGAGCTAGACAATTAGCACCCACCCCATCCCCATCCATAGAAAAGCCTTTGAAAGTCCCACCAGCAGCCCACCTCCCCTTTCCATCCTGCCAACTGGTGTCTCCTTTTCTGTTATGTCTGAACAGCAGCCATCTCTTAGCAATTGAGCCTAACCTGGCAGTGATAAGTCTAATACAGCTCTAGAGATAGAGAGATAGGAAGCCAAACCCACAAACTGCGTAATAGTTTATAGAGTTTTAAATCACAAAATTAATGTTGATCCCTGGCACTGAAAACATATAAAACCTGTTAGGATAGATAATAAATGTACAGTTTAAAAAAAAACTCTAACAGAACCATCTAAAAAAACCCAAATTATCTTTAGTAACCACTATATATATTATATATGCATGCAAATACATGTGTACAAAGCCACATATTATGGATATTTTATGTGCACATATACAAAGAAAAACTAAGCCCAAGAATCTCAATACGGTTCCTCAGAAATATGAAGACAAATGGTAAATGGGAAAGTTTACAGTCACTTCAGTTAGGGGTGGGAGGTCCTCATTCATTCATTCATTCATTCATTAAATCCAATTGTGCTTTTCAAGCCCTGGATGACTGTGGACCTACCTGGCCTGTTGGCCCCTCTTTCCCTTTATTGAAAGCCAGTAGGCACCAGATGCTGCACCACACCCGGCCTCCATGCCCCACAGCACAGGCGAGTTTACACAATTCCCTGAATATCATTGGCTCAGGTCTTGATCCCTGGACATTGATGGCTCAGGTCTTGATTCCTGGTCATCACGGACTCATCACCCTTGCTCTAGGTTTGTTGGAAATGTTCTAGGCTTAGGTGGAAGGGCCAGAATATTTTGTAGCCCTTGAGAACTCTGATTCTCACAGAGCTGGATTGCCAAGGTGCCTTAAACTGGTCGGATGGAATGGCCGACAACCACCAAGTGGGGAAGAGGACATAAAGGGTGGCCTTGCAACCTCCCTATAGCCTAGAATAGATGTGGATGCTGCCAGACCCTGCGCCAGACTGTATCATCTGGGGCACCTGGGAGGGGGTGAGTGAGGCCCCTCCCCACTCCAAGGAATCCAACCCCAGCAGCTGAAAACCTCCAGAACTCAACCACTACCTTGCTTATGGCCACTCTCCACATGCTCAGGCCGAACCTCACCCACGAGTAAACCTATCCCTGGACCATGAAACCGCATTTGCAGCCATGCGTCATCTCATACCTCATACCACTCATACTCCAAGAGTAGCACACCACCTTTGATGAGGTTTAAAGTAGAAGCCAACCAATCTTAGAAGTAAATATATCTTTACAGTTTTATATATAGAGAGAGAAAAACACACAAAGCTCATATTGTAATATGAGCAACATATTAGGTAAAGGTAAAGGTAAAAGCCCTCCCATTGTTCGTCGATTTGCTAGAGCGGGCCCAGTAACGTCTCCATTGGAGACTTTGTTGTTACTGTGTCTGGCATATCGAACACGTCAAGGGGAGCTTGCCAGGCTCTGCCGTGCGGGCGAGATACTCTCGGTAGCTTGCCGGGCTCTCCGAGAGGGGCGGAGGAATCGAACTCGGGTCGGCAATGTTGGCTGCATGCAAGGCAAACGCCCTACCGCTGTGCTATCGCTCCAGCCCCCGCATATTAGTAATCTCTTATAGAAGGGTTTAATGGCCCCTGGGTGAAGTATAACAATCTTCACACCCTCTCAACTAAGGAAAGTTTTCTGGAGCATTTTCAGTGGTTTATTCATAACAAATAATACAAAATAAATGATTTCAGTTCTGCTCTGTGGCAGGGGTTGGGGCTTAGGATGTAAACATCAAAACTATGATGGTGGGAAGGTGTAATCGTGGTGGGATTGGTGTTCAAATAGTAAATGTAATCAAATATTGTGAACTTTATAAAAAATAAATTTAAAAAAAAGAATGGATGTGGCCAAAGAGGAGGAGAGGTAGAGGTCCCCAACTGGGACAGCTCTTTAGAGACATCTTAAGCAGAAAGAGAGAAGGTAGTAAAAGTCCAGATCATTTTCAGACCATGAACAAACATCAGCTCCAACAATTACAGCAGATTCAGGAGAGGGAAGAGGGTCTTCTATCTGTGCACACATCAAAGATGCCACAAAGCCCGAGGAAGGGACAGGAGCGACAGAATAGCAGGCAGGGCACTTGCATTGCACACGGCTGACCAGGGTTCATTCCCCAGCACCCTATGTAGTCCTTCCATGCCCACCAAGAGGTCCCTGAGCACAGAGTCACTGTAAGTTCTGATCCCTGCCGTGTGTGGCTCCAAAGCAAACAAACAAACAAACAAAAGTCCTGAGCAACCTCAGTGACGGGGGAAAAATACTGAAAAGGATGGTGCCTTTCTTGTCCCAAGAAATTGCTTTTCCCATCCAAAGGATGCAGCTTCCAATGGTGCACACCTAGTTCCTCAGAAAACATGAGACAAACCATCAAAAATTTGAATATTATTCAGAAACTTTTTTGGTTTTGTTTGTTTTGTTTTGTTTGGGATCACTCCCAGTGATACTCCGGGGTTACTCCTAGCTCTGCACTCAGGATTCACTCCTGGTAGGGATCAGAGGACCTGGGATGCCAAATCTGGGTGAGCTGTGAGCAAGGCAAAAATGACTTACCTGCTGCACTATCCCTCTGGCTCCTATCCAGAAACTTCTAGATAACCTTAAAGTCAGTTTCATGAAAGAATGCCTACAAGCATTTGCCAACTTCCCTCATGAGGGGATAGCTCCCTTTTCAGACTTATGACCTATTTATAATCCCTGGCACTTAAATTTATCAAACACAGACACTTTTTCAGATGATTCCATACTGTCCTTTCTCCAGACTGGAAACAGAGACAGGAAAGTACAAGGGACATGAATTGGTTTTCCCTCCAGACAGGAGGTTCGAGGTGGGCAGTTTTCATCACTTGAACTGGCTCTCTCACACTCAAAAATATACATAGGGGCTGGAGAGATAGCACAGCAGGCAGGGCGTTTGCCTTGCACACGGCCAACCCAGGTTCAATTCCCAGCATCCCATATGGTCCTCTGAGCATCACCAGGAGTAACTCCTAAGTGCAGTGCCAGGAGTAACCCCTGTGCACCGCCAGGTGTGACCCAAAAAGCAATATATATATATGTATATATATACATACATATATATGTATATATATATACACACATATATATATACATACATATAGAACTACCTGTTGAGAGGTGGTAAAGGACCAAACATGATATCCTCTAAGTACCTGTACTGCACTTAAAGGAGGCGGGGAGGGGGAGGGGAGGGGAGAGGGGAAGGAGGAGGGGAGGAGAGAGAGAGAGAGAGAGAGAGAGAGAGAGAGAGAGAGAGAGAGAGCCTGCCATGGTGGGTGAGATACTGGGGACATTGGTGGTAGGAAATGTATACTGGTGGAGGGATGGATTATGGAACACTGTAAGACTGAAATCCAATTATGAACCGCTTGGTAACTGTGTGTCCCACAATCATTCAATTAAAAATATGTGTTTTTAAAAAGAAAAAAACCTAAAAATACATACATATAATTCCAAAGCCAGGTACCTGTGATTATAACCTTATTCGGCAAGAGGTGTCTTTGTCTGTGCAGGTGTGATGCAGCTGAGATGTGGTCAGACTGGGTTCTGTGATCCCTCAATTCAAAGTCTGGGATCCTTTCAAGGATCCTAGTCAGGAACACAGAGGTACCCAGAGAGGAGGCCACATGAAGACAGAGAGGGGAAGGACTGAGTAACTGCAACACCCAGGATTCCCCAGACCAGCAGAAGTTGGGGGAGAGATGGGCCCAGGGTCCTCTTCCCATAGCCTGCAAAAACATGTATTTAGGGGCTTTCTCCTTTCCAGAACTATCTCTGGGAGATAATTTTAAAGATAATTATCTCTAGTGATCTTTAAGTCACTGGGTTATTGCCATTTTCTATGGCCAACCTAAGAAACGAACACAGAGAACATGAAAACCAAGAATCTGTCCTCCAGGGCTGAAGCGATATTATAGCAGGTAGGGTATTCACCTTGCATGCAGCTGACTCCGGTTCGATTTCCAGCATCCCATGTGGACCCTTGAGCACTGCCAGGAGTAATTCCTGAATGCAGAGCCAGGAGAAACCCCTGTGCATCGCAGGGTGTGACCCAAAAAGCATTTAAAAAAAAATCTGTCCTCCCACCTCAGCTAATCGCAACAGCAGCTGATTCCTCCCAGGAGCAGCCCTGGTCCCTACGACATATCAGACCCAGGTAGGGAACCTGGACACCTCACACCAGTCCCACTGCAGCCCCCAGCACACAGACTTACCTCACTGGGCTCTATGATGGCCACGTTGTCGGCGCCTACTCTGTTCTTCATGCGGGCAGCCATGGAGATTCCCCCGCTGCCCCCGCCCAGCACCAACATCTCATAGTAGTTCCTGGCTGCCAGGCAGGCCCCTGTGTGCAGTTGCCGCGGGCCAGCCTGCACAGCACCCAGCCGGACAGAGAAGAGCAGCATGCGGGGTCCTGCCACTGCAGCCATCAGCGGTACCATCTTCAGGCTGGATCAGGCTAGGAAGGAGTAAGAGAATCATTGAGTGCTAAGGAAGGGATCTGTGGAGCCAAAGCTTGTATTTGTTTTCAGGGAGGAGCACCTAGTTAGTCTGGCTGGGACCTACCTCAATTCAGCACCACTTTCCCACCTAACTGTGATTCCCTGTGAATGCTTGGCTGGTAGCTAAAATTTGGTTCCACTTTCTTTTTCCTCTTCCCACTTCTTTCAGGACCTCAAGAGCTCTGAGTCAGGTAAACCTCCCCTTTATAAGTTTTCTCTGTCCCCACTGTCTGTCCACAGATCCTGGGAATCCAAAGGTTGTAGCAAGTTGTTACCATTCCTCTCCCAGACCCTCCCCTCAAATCTTTCTTTAGCTTTTCAGTCCACCATTGATGTCTGCATCTCCTTACTATAAAGGGCACATAAGACCTCACTGAAACAGAAATGGTCCACTAAGAAATCCCCCTCTAAGATTGGGGTTAAGACACTTGCCTTGTTGGAGGTCAACCCAATGCCCAGCACCACAGGGTCCCCTGAGCATCACCAGGTACAGTCCTGAAGCAGGTACAGCACTACTGGGAATGGCTCTGGAGGTTCCCAAGCACCCATTTGGTGGCCTGAATAATGCCACACATCAATGGGCCCAAGAAGAACCACATCCTCAAGCTCTTGCATTAACCCATACACAACTCCTGGGCTGGATGGATCCAAAGCCTGCCTCCTGAATACTGCTTAGGAGACCTTACCCCCCAAAAAAGGGAACAAAAGAATGTCCCCCTTTCTGTAACTCAGAATTCAGACCAAGATCCTAGGAGCCAAGACCTACTCAGAGGTCTCCTGGTTCTGATTGCCCAAGGCCAGACAATTTAATCACAATTTAATCAATCATGGGCTACAGATATGCAGGATAAGCCCTTTGCACCTCCAGCAATTCCAACCAGAAGATTAAAAAAGCCACAGCAGGAAGCTTGCCTGGTAGCATAAAGTTTCATTTCATGACAGAATCTGTACATGTTGCTGACCAAGCTTTTATTATATCCAACTCAGTAAACAATCTCTCCTAGGAGTTCCTCTGAGAGATATGCGTTACCTCCAGCAAAACAAGCCTCAACTTGTGCACAGAGCTTTGTAATGAGGAAAAGGCGAATTCTCAGAAATCAACCATGGCTTCACCAGTCCCTATGAATGACATCTTGGATACCATCTAATTACAGAACTTAGAGAATCAAGCCTGAAAACATTTCCCATTCTGGGTAGTATTTCTGTCTCCAAGCTCACCACCAACTTCAGCCCTTTGGGTTCAACAATCACGGTCATGGTCCTCCTGTTGTTCATCGATTTGCTCAAGCGGGCCCAGTAACATCTCCATCGTGAGACTTGTTGTTACTGTGTTTGGCATATCGAATACGTCACGGGTAACTTGCCAGGCTCAGGCGAGATACTCTCGGTAGCTTGCCAAGCTCTCCGAGAGGGGCAGAGGAATTGAACTTGGGTTGGCCATATTGGCTGAGTACAAGGCAAACGCCCTACCGCTGTGCTATCGCTCCAGAAACTGTGCGTGATTGCCGAGTCACATTCCCAGCTCTATTGCTGCAAGTATAAAATTACTAGAACCCTCTCAAAAACAATTAAAATGATTAAAATGCAAGCACCCAGCTGAAGAGCAACATAGCTGCTAAGGTCTTGAGAGGAACAATGAAATTAACTGATTTTCCTCTGACCCCAAGAAGAGGTGCCTTTAGGAGCTATTAGAGAAAGCTGAGAGGAGAAAGGTCTAGAAAATGAAGAAGAGAAAGCCCAGAAAGAAGGAGAAATTACTTGGAATGGGGTAAAGGAGTGGAGAGTTCACTTTCCTTAGTATTAACTCTATTTCTGAGTTTTCATACCACAGATGACTTCCTGTCTATCTCTGTTTGTCTGTTAACATGAGTGATCTAGGATCTCACACCTGTGAGGCATGTGCTTTAGTGCTGAGGCACATCCCCAGCTCTGTTGCTACAAATTTAAAACTACAACCTTCTCAAAAATAACTTCTCCTCAATTTCCTTAATTCTGCATTTCCACTTCTGAGAATCTAAGAAACTAACATCTAATAATGAAAAAAAAAATCCTTACAATGACATTTCTCATACATTCATTCATCAATGAATCTCCTCAGCAAGCTGGTGTGAACTGGACAGGATTACATCCTGGTAACAGCAACCACAAACCCCACACTGGCCAGGGAAGTGAGGGCACTAACTGCTTGACTCTGGAATAATCTATAATCACTTTAATCTAATATGTGGAGAGGCCCGAATCAGCAGTCTGTATGTCAAACCAATAAGGACAGTGAAATAGGGTTATACAAGACGTTCTCTGTGGTCTTCTAAACCTGTATTTACAAAGAGCATAGGAATGTTTAAGTGAGCCAGAAAATAGCATAGCAGTTAGGGTGCAAACCTAGCTGCTTCCAGCACAGGTTCAATCCCAGGCACTGCTTGATCCAGCATCTCCAGAGATTGCCAGGAGGTGGAATCAAACAGCCCTCTGACCATCACATTGAATCACTGGTCTGATCGACCAAGGATTGTTGGTGGGGCTCTTGGGACTCCTGACTACCACTTGGGAGGCCCACAAAACAAATGTTTATGTTGTGAGTAATATAGCACTGTAGCACTGTCCTCCTGTTGCTCATCGATTTGCTCAAGCGGGCACCAGTAATGTCTCACAAAAAATTGTGAGACTTATTGTTATTGTTTTTGGCATATCAAATACGTCACGGGGAAACACTGGAAATGCACTCTGACCTCAACTATGTAAGGGACAATGCAGTTTTTGAAAAAATAGCAACCAGGAAAATGAACAAAAGTAGTACAAGGCTTAAGGGGTTTTGCCTTGCTCGGAGAGGACCCTCGTTGACTCTCCAGCACCACACATGGTCCCTCAGCACGACCAGGAATGATCCCTGAGCATAGCCAGGTGTTACTTAACTGGGGGAGGCCCAGCCCCACAATAGCCAAAATGTGAATACCAGCTGAATGGTTTTCTCTATATTTTAAAATAATAGGTGATTTTGGTTTATTTTTCTATATTTTATCTGTTGTTGTATATGACGTTGCAATGTTAAATATGTACTATGATGATAACAAGTAACTTATTAGGTCTTTTATATGAGTATCTAACTTGTGATTGGATGCCATTCATCCCCATTTGATGAAACTGAGGCAAGGAGTAAGGTGCTCCTTCAACGTCAGACAGCTTATGAGTAGCAGACTCTAACTTGAACCCAGAATACTCTTCTCTCGGTTCTGCATCAAACAAAATGGTGCTTATATTAACAGAGAATGAAAAATACACACTTACCAGAAAACGGAAACCAGCTTCCACAAGTACTGACACCTTAGCAATGTTTTGATACAACTATCACTGATTCTTCCCTTTCTTTTTTTATCTGCATTTCTTTTATTATAATTGAAACTTTACATATTTACATATTTTAGATACATTTACATTTCCTTTCCTAATTATAATATTTTCCCCATTTTCTTTTTTTATATTTAATTTTTATTAGTGACAAATCATGAGGTACAGTTGTAGACTTACAAACCCTTGTGCTTGGATTTCAAGGTAGAAATAAGGAAAATGCAAACGGAAATATCAGACCTGAAAAACCTGGTAGGTTTTGAAAAACTCAGTGGAAGGCCTCAGCAGCAGAGTAACAGCTGCGGAGGACAGAATCAGTGAGCTCAAAGATGAAGTCCAGAGACTCTCCAGAGAAAATGGAAAAGAGACTCACAATTCGAGAACAGGTGGCAAGAGAAGATAGTGATGAAACCAAGAGGGGTAACATAAGAATTGTTGGAGTCCCAGAGGGACAGGAAGAAAACCCTGATGAAGAAGAAACTGTCAAAGACATCATTGCTACAACATTTCCAGAGCTGAAGAAAACATGTGACCACATTCAGGAGGCCCGAAGGGTACCAGCTAAAAGAAATCTTCCCTTTCTTTATGTATGCATTTCTCAAGTTCTCCTTAGTGAACTCAATATTTTTTGTCACTTTTAATGCTGGTCGGGGGGGGGGGGTGTGGAGGGGAATTGGGGTTGCTGGAGGACACTGATGAAGGGCAGTAGACACTGGTTGAAGGGATTGGTGCTGAACATTGTATGCCTGAAGTCCAAACAACTTTGTAATTCATGGTGACTAAATTAAAAAATATATTAAATTTTAAAAATTGGGGTGGAAGTGGGATTGAGGAGCAGGGTTTGGGTCGTTTAACTTCTCTTATTTTTACTTTGGAGCAGGCCACTGACACTGTGCTCAGGAATGACTCCTGGTGGTGGTCAGGAGACCATGTGTAGTGCCAGAGATCAAACTAGGGCCTGCTTCACACACAGTTCTGCAACCTTATTCCTTGTTCTATCTCTCCAGCCCTAATTTTTTTAATTACTCAATTTGATTTTGGTGGAATCAGCAGGAAGTGGCCTCCCAAGTCTTACTCAACAGACCTTGGAGACGGCCCCCCTGTTATTTCTGAGAATTACCCAGATCATTTGGGCAATGCTCAGAGGCCTCAGGACTGCACCCAATAGTGTTTTGGAGGCCATGTGGTGCCAAGAATTAAGTCAGAGTTGGTTGCATGCAAGGTAAGTGTGCTAAGCCTTAGATTTTCTCTCACCCCTGATTTGTTTTAATGGAATACAGGAAATCACCAAGCAGGATATTTAGTAGGAAAGGAAGAAGTAATTTATGAAAAAACAGCCATCACACCCTAACCACACTTGTTCACTGAATCATAGCCAAACCCTTCACTTCCCAGAAGAAGAACACGACCTGGCTGGTAAGAACACATCTTAGTGCCAAGGAAGCCAGGAAACAATAGTGGCGTTACAGGAGGTCAGGCCCGAACCAAGTTATTTCATCTCCTAGTTCTCTTCCAGTATAACCCTCTAAGGTTCTTCGATTGAAAGAGGAAGAAGTTACAAAAGATTTCCTTCATTTATCTAAGACTCCCAGTTCTGTTTTACTTTAGCAAT